GTCCCCACTGCTCCACTTCCGATCCAGCTCCCTGCTAACATGTCTGAGAAAGCTGCAGAGGATGGCCCAAGTACTTGGGCCCCTGCCACCCATGTGGGAGACACAGAAGCTTCTGGCTCCTGGGCTCTGGATGGCCCAGTTCTGGGCTGTTGTGGCTACCTGGGGAGATGGATGGAAGCAGATGGATGGAAGATGGAAGATCTCGATCTCTCTCTCTCTCTCTCTCTCTCTCCATGTACCTCTGCCTTTCAAATAGATAAATACATCTTTTTAAAAAATTCTTAGTAAACCAAAACCCTAAGGATATTTCATCATGATCAAGTTGAGTCAAGTATATCTCAGAAATGCAAGGTTCTTTAAATTATACATATTACTTTAAGAGATGGAAATAAGACCACATACATGCATATACCAATATCTGCAAAAAGAAACACTTGAGGATAAGCAAAAAACTAATAAAAGTGATTAAAGGCCGGCGCCGCGGCTCACTTGGCTAAGTCCTGGTTGGGGCGCCGGGTTCTTGTCCTGGTTGCTCCTCTTCCAGTCCAGCTCTATGCTGTGGCCTGGGAAGGCAGTGGAGGATGGCCCAAGTGCTTGGGCCCTGCACATACACGGGAAACCAGGGGGAAGCACCTGGCTCCTGGCTTCAGATTGGCGCAGCACGCCAGCTGTAGCAGCCATTTTGGGGGGTGAATCAATGGAAGGAAGACCCCCCCACACACACTGTCTAACTCTGTTAAAAAAAAAAGTGATTACAAACAGTCAGTAAAAGGGACAAAGGCTTTTGAGACATGTGAACACTTACCAATTTTTAAATTTAATTCTAGTAAGTAAATCACTAGTGTAATTCCTCACATTATCAGAGTGAAATTAAATGATAATTATACTAGGTGCAGAAAAATTATGTGATATTTGATATCTACACAGAATTAAGAAAAACTATAGACATATCACTCTTCTTTGTGATATACTGTAAATTATTCCTAGATTAGGAACAAGGCCGGAATACGCACTATCACATCCACTCAACATTATAGTGGCAATCCTCTCCAAAACAATAAGGCAAGAAAAAGCAAATAACAGGTATAAGGATTGAAAAGAAACAAACAAAAACTGGCTCTCTTTGCAGATAATATAAGCATATATGCAGAGTGAAATCTACAGATAAATTACTACAAGATACAAGAGAATTTAAGCAAATAGCTTAATACAAAAAATCAGTATTTCTATCTACAAGTAGAAAACACAAATTTTAAACATTTTTATACTACTATAAAACTATGAAGTCTCTAGGAGTAAATTTCACAATGTACATACTTCAGAAAAAATTTATAAAACTTTATTGTGAAACAATAAAAAGACACAAATAAATGCCATAAATTTCTTTTTGTAATGGTATTAATTCTCCCTACATGAGTTTATAAATCCAGTACAATATCGAGGCTTTTTTATAGTATGGTTCTAAAAAATGTAAAGGCTCACAACTGTACAAGATATTCCTGTGGGAAGGACCGCTTCTACCAGAGATAAGGAATCTTAGAAAGCTACAGTAACTAAGAAAACATGGTTTTGCACAGGGATATACCACCAGAGCAACAGTACTGAATAGAAGAGCCAAGAAACACATGTATACACACACAGGCACTTATGTGATCAATGCAGAAAGGGCAGGTTTTTCAACAAATGGTGTCTGAGCAACTGCCTAGCTATATGGGGAAAGAATGAAATCAAGCCCCTATTTCAACTACACAAAAACCAATATTAAGGGGAACAAGACCAGCAGGAAGGAGGGTAGAATGGGAAGTATCACTACACATTTAAATTTATATATGAGTTACATGAAATTTGTTCATCTTATAAAGTTTTTTTTTTTAAAAAGGAACAAGACCCCCCCCCCAAAAAAAAACGCACAACCATAAAGTACTGATAAATTGTATATTAAGATGAAGAACTTCTACTCAAAGCACAATTTTGAATTAAGAAAATCACACAGGAAATATCTGCAACTGATATAAACAACAAAGAAGTCAGAAACAAATTTATACAAACGGTTATAAATTAGTAAGAAAAAGACAATCCCATAGAAAAATGACCAAAAGACCTGACTGGGTACTTCACAAAATAGGAAAATGAAAGGTACTCAAAATCATTAGTGTCCAGAGGAATGCAAAATATACCAAAACAAGATACCATTCATGGGGCTGGTGCTGTGGTGCAGATGGTTAAGCCCATGCTTACAACTCTGGCATCCCACATTGGAGTGTGGTTTCCACTGCTTGGAAGGCAGCAGAGGATGGCTTAAGTGTTTAGGCCCTGACCACCCACATGGCCTAGATGCTCCAGGCTTCCACCTGGCCCAGCCCCAATAACTGAGACCATCTAGGGGAAAAAAGATAGCATTCATTACTTACCCACAAAATTGGCAAGAATTAAAAATACTGTATTAGCAAGTGTTAGCAAAGATATAGAGCGACAAGAACTCTCATATACTCTTCAAGATGATTCAAACTGGTATAACCACTTTAGAAAACAGCTGACGACATCTAACTCTATTGAAGAGTCACATTAATCTATAACCAAGCAATTTCACTCCTAGGTTTCTAATCCATTTAAAAGTATATAAATGTGCATCAGCAGACATGACTAAAAATGTTTATGCCAACACTGTTCACAACAGCCAGAAATTCCAGCACCTGAGAATAATTAATCAAGCATTTATCAGGATGGGCATTGTGTTTAGAACACTTGTATCCCATACCAGAGCACCTAGTTCGATTCACAGCTACTCTGATTCTGATCCAGCTTCCTGCTAATGTGCCTGAGAGGCAGCAAATGAGAGCAGCAAGTACGTGGGTTCCTGCCACCGATGTGGGACACCCAGTGGAGTTTCTGGTTTCTGGTTCCTGGCTCCAGGCCTGGCCTAGCCCTAACTGTTGTAGGCATTTGGGGAGTGAACCAGTGGATGAAGATCTCTCTTTCTCTTTCTCCATCACCCTGCCTTTCATGGAAATAAATAAAACTTAAAAAGCAAAGCGTTCATCTATGACAGAATCAGTAACTTTTGGCAAATTCACAAAATGGAATTTGATACAACACTGAATATGAACAAACCACTGCTGGTCACTGCACAGACCTCATGAATATAATGTTGAGAAAATTAACCAAAAACAATACCAGCAGTGTCAAGTTCCAACACATTTAGGAATGTGATAAAAGTATAAATAAGAAAATTATCACCACAGAAGCCAGAATAATGGTTACCTGTGGGAAAGAGATGGTTATAACTAGAAAAGAGCATGGGGGGAGGGGAGAGTCCAATGTTCTATTTCTTAACTTCGGTGAAGGATACATCAGTGTTTGCTTTATCATTGTTAGAACGGGTATATGTTTTTACACACTTTCTGAATGTAAGTTTTACAATCAAAAATACATTCACAAAGGGAAAAGTTTATACAGGGAATTTTCTTTTTTTTCTTTTTTTTTTCTTTATTTTTTTCACAGGCAGAGTGGACAGTGAGAGAGAGAGAGAGACAGAGAGAAAGGTCTTCCTTTGCCGTTGGTTCACCCTCCAATGGCCGCCGCAGCCAGCGTGCTGCGGCTGGCACACCGCGCTGATCCGATGGCAGGAGCCAGGTATTTATCCTGGTCTCCCATGGGGTGCAGGGCCCAAGCACTTGGGCCATCCTCCACTGCACTCCCTGGCCACAGCAGAGAGCTGGCCTGGAAGAGGGGCAACCGGGACAGAATCCGGCTCCCCGTCCGGGACTAGAACCTGGTGTGCCGGCGCCGCAAGGCGGAGGATTAGCCTAGTGAGCAACGGTGCCGGTGAATTTTCAATATCACAATATTTGTTACCCCAATTCCAGCAAGTGTAAGGTTGCTCAGAAAAGCAAAGGTCATATGGGGGCATTCACTAACATACTAATCACTGTATGAACCAGTCACTCAAACTTTCCTCCTGGTTAACACCCACAACATAAGTAAAAGGCAAATCACTTGCAGATTCACTTCCCACAAATATTCTTTAAATGTCTACCACCGTGCAAATGCTATTGTAGAGAACCATCAAGGTTCAAGATAAAGGCCCCGATGGAGGACATGGGAGCCTCCACGCCACCCTGATTTGGCGGTCATCCTCTCACCTCCTTTCTCACCAAGTTTCAAACAAGAAGAACCGAAAGGGAACTCAGGGCACACCAACATCCTATCCAAATCACCACCTTGGAATCTTTTCATCATAGTGGAACCCTCTGATCGGAGTCGCTTGGCAAAAGCCTTGCCTTCCCGGTTTCCAGGTACGCAGGACCACCATCATGACCAGGAGCCCTAATCAAGGCACCGGTCTCAACGACAGTGCGGTGGAAACCGGCCTGTCAAAATTCCCCAGGAATGCTTCACCTGGGAGCCACAGCCCGGGCGCTCCCAGCTTTGCAGAAATTATACACTAGATGCTGTGTATAGAAGTGTTTTCTCCGCTGGCGCCGCGGCTCACTAGGCTAATCCTCCGCTTTGCGGCGCCGGCACACCAGGTTCTAGTCCCGGTCGGGGTGCCGGATTCTGTCCCGGTTGCCCCTCTTCCAGGCCAGCTCTCTGCTGTGGCCAGGGAGTGCAGTGGAGGATGGCCCAAGTGCTTGGGCCCTGCACCCCATGGGAGACCAGGATAAATAGCTGGCTCCTGCCATCGGATCAGCGCGGTGTGCCAGCCGCGGCGGCCATTGGAGGGTGAACCAACGGCAAAGGAAGACCTTTCTCTCTCTCTCTCTCTCTCACTGTCCACTCTGCCTGTCAAAAAAAAAAAAAAAAAGTGTTTTCTCAAGAGTCCAGGACTTTCATGGGATTCTCCAAGCATTTCAATCAAAAAAAAAAAAAAAAGCGCATAAACATTGTTCCCAGTAAGCGGAACAGACTAAAGTTTTAGGGACACGGTGGAAGCGCAGTGCGGTCGCGGCTAGACCACCAGGTGCAAACCCAGGCCTGTGCTCCGAAAGCCCAATACTTACTCTTAGTTCTTCGAAGGCTTCGTCCAGGGTGGAGAGCTGGTGACCCTGGTGAGCCCCAACGACAGGACACAGGACACAGATGAGCTGCCTATCCTCCTGGCAGTAAGTGCTCAAATCCAGCCCGTGGTCTGGACACTTCCTCTTGGCCACTCTCTCCGCTTCCATTTCTATTTCCGGGTCAAATTCGCTCTCTGCCTCAGTTTCTCCCTCCGCCTCTGACTCTCCTTCCTCCTGGTTGTCTTCCTCCGCCTCGCTTTCTTGCTCGTCCTCCATCTCCTCCTCGCTGTCTTCTTCACTCTCCTCGTCGCTCTCCTCCTCACTCTCCTCCTCCGTCTCGCTCTCCTCCTCCGTCTCACTGTCTTCCTCAGACTCGCTCTCTTCCCCGGCCTCGCTCTCTAACTCCTTCTCCTGCTCCACCTTGGCCTCGGCTTCTTCCTTGCCCGCCCCCTCCCCGTGGGCCCGCGAGGTCCAGGCCTGGGCGCCATGGACGTAGTCGGCCAGGTGATGGCTGAGGAACTTCTGCCTGTGCGCCTCGGCGTGGCGGCGGCAGAAGCAGAAGCCGCATTCGCGGCACACTTCCTCGGCCCCCGGAGCCTCGTCGGGCTCGCACTCGTCACACGTGCCGTCGTGAGGCAGCTCCTCGAAGGCCGCGCCCACTCCGGAGGCCATGTGGGTGCTGTGACGCGGCCAAGGCCTCGGGGCCTCTGCGCTCGCCGCCGTCCCTAGGCGCGGCCTCTGCCCGTCCTCCGCCCCGGCGGCAGGGGTCGGGTGGGGGTAGTGGGGGGTCCCTTCCCTGGGAGTCGCCGCCCGTCTGGGCCGCGCCGCGTCTCGCCGCCAAGCCTGGGGCCGCGGCAGCCCCTCCCCGGGCCAGGAGCGAAAGCCCTTCCCTCTGGCTCGGCCAGCTGCGCGCAGCCGCGGCGCTTCCTCTGCCCAACCGGGCACTTCCGGCGCGGCCGCCCCGCGCCCCCGTCGGCCCCCGCGCCGCGCCTCCCGCTCGGCCGGCCTGCCCGGCGAGGACGCGGCGGCGGCGGCGGCTGGCCTCGGCGCCGCCCCGGTTCCACTTTCCCTTTCGCTGTCAGGCGGCCGGCTTTCACTTCCTGAGTCATTTAAAGTGGCAATGGCCCTTTTCTGCTTTTCCCGCGGGGGCTCGGCTCCGCTGCTGCCAGCCTCGGCATCCCCGGAAGGTGGAGGAGGACTGATGGAGCCTCTCGCTCACTCGGGAGGCGGGAATGGGGACCCCTTTTCCCCCGCGCCGTCCCCGGAGGTATCAACTCGACTTTTTCAGGCTGCCTGGCTGGTGTCCTTGCGTGTGACCAGGGGCTCTCTGGGACCAGTTTGTTGCCACCTGTCACGGTCCCCAGTTTTCTGCAAGGCGCTGTGGACCAGACTGAAACCTGAGCTCCTGGGATTTCCAGAGGGCCCCAGAAGTTCTGTGTTTTGTTCTCCTGGGCTCAGGGAATGCCCGCGGCAGGCTGAGCAAATATTTTTCTATCCAAAGAAACACTATGCTTTGTTTGCCAAGTGTATTTGCATTCCTGCCCCCCAGGGGCTCAGAGTGCCAACCCTGTGGCTTCTGAGAGCCTGCCTTGGGTTGGGTGAAGTAAGGGGAGAGGGGGAGTTCTGGGTTTCAGTCATTTTCCTTTATATAATACTCAGATTAGACTCCTAAAGAAAAGAAGGATTTGTTTATGAACGAGTACTAAAGTGCCAAGAAACGGGCTACATCTTTTTGTAGCTTTTCGGAAGCTGGTTATGGAAGATCCACTGCTCCAGGACCTCCCATGCTTGGTGCCAAATTCATAGGTCAACGGATCAGGTTTGTGACCGTGGTGGACAAGTTAATTCACATTCTGTCTTCCACTTTTTGAAAAAAATACATATATTGGAAGTAATGGTGCTTCCTACCTCATGGGGTGCTTTTGTGAATTTAATGAAAAAATGCCTGCACTGTATTCACTAAGACAATTATTTTTGGCACAAATTATATTTAGTGTTCACAGTAACCTTTTGAAGGCAGTTTTGAAGTATGTTTTATTTTTAAAAATTTTTTTGACAGGTAGGGTTATAGACAGTGAGAGAGAGAGACAGAGAGAAAGGTCTTCCTTCCGTTGGTTCACTCCCCAAATGGCCGCCACGGCTGGCGCTCCGCCGATCAGGAGCCAGGTGCTTCCTCCTGGTCTCCCATGCGGGTGCAGAGCCCAAGCACTTGGGCAATCCTCCACTGCCTTCCTGGGCCACAGCAGAGAGCTGGATTGGAAGAGGAGCAGCTGGGACTAGAACCCGGCACTGCAGGTGGAGGATTAACCAAGTGAGCCACTGCACCGGCCCCGAAGTATGTTTTAAACCTATAATATTTTTGGCTAATGGTGGTAGTGTATGCAACCCCTGTCTCTACCCCATATCTATGTGTCTCCATCCATAGAAGAGAGGGAAAAGGACATTTGGATCCAGTCAGTGGAGAGGCTCAGGTGTGATTAAGACTAGGTGATAGGGGCCGGTGCTGTCTCTTCCAGTCCAGCTCTCTGCTGTGGCCCAGGAGGGCAGTGGAGGATGGCCCGAGTGCTTGGGCCCCTGTACCCACATGGGAGACCAGGAAGAATCACCTGGCTCCTGGCTTCGGATCTGCGCAGCTCCGGCCACTGCAGCCAATTGGAGAGTGAACCAACGGAAGGAAGACCTTTCTCTCTGTCTCTCTCTCTCTCACTGTTTATAACTCTACCTGCCAAATAATAAAATAAAATAAAATAAAAAATGACTAGGTGATAGATGAGGCCGGCACCATGGTGCAGCAGGTTAAGCCACTGCTTGAAGTACTGGCATCCTATATGAACATGGGTTCAAGTCCTGACTGCTCCACTTCTGATCCAGCTCCCTGCTAGTGCTCCTGGGAAAGCAGTGGAAGATGGGCCAAGTCCTTTGGCCCTGGTGTCCAAGTGGAAGACCCAGAAGAAGCTCCTGGTTTTGGCCTGGCCCACCCTTGGTCACTGTGGCTGAGCCAGAGGATGGAAGAGCTCTCTCTCTCTCTACTCCCTCCCTCTCTGTAATTCTGCCTTTAAAATAAATCAATCAAAAAAAAAAAAAAAAAGGGATGGAATGGTACCTGTTTGCCATTGATTCCCTTAGTTAATTTTAAGCTAGGATTTCCAGATGATTGCCATAAAAATACCAGGGGATTAGGTGGGGTTACAAAAGTTTTTAAATAATTTTACTGTCCCCATAGAAATTATAAAATCTTAATCTTTTTTTACTTGAAAGGCAGATAGAGCATTCTCCTATTAGTGGGGTCACTCATAAATGTCCACAGTAGCCTGGGCTGGGACTAGCTGAAGCAGGCAATGGGAACCAGGAACTCAATCCAGATCTCCTATGTGGGTGGCAGGAACATTACTTGAGTCATCACCTGCTGCCAACCAGGGCTTGCATTAGCATTTCAGTCAAGAGTGGAGCCAGGGATCAAACTTTGGTAAATGAGATGCAGGCATCTTAACCACCGGGCCAAACATCTGCCCCTGTGTGCTTAATGTTTATACAACTTGTTAGCTATTTACTTCTTTCTCTTCTTTTTTTTTTTTTTTTTTTTTTTTTTGCAGTGTATGAAAGTTTCTTTTTTTCCCCAAGAAAACTTTTTTTTTAATGAGTGTGAATTTCATAAGTAGAACTTTAGGAATATAGTGATTCTTCCAACCATACCCACCCTCCACCACAGTCCCACCCCACTTCCTCCTCCCTCTCCAATTCCCAGTCCCATTCTACATTAAGATTCATTTTCAATTAAATTTATACACAGAACAACTGTATACTAAATAAATATTTCAACAATTTGCAAAGACACACACTGAGAACAAGTTTCACGGTTAATTTTCATAATACAACTTATTGAGGACAGAGGTCTTGCATAGGGAGTTAGTGCACAGTGACTCCTGTTTTTAACAATTAACACTCTTATGTATGATGTCAGTGCTCACTTGATGCTCTTGACATGAGCTGCCAAGGCTATGGAAGCCTTTTGAGTCCACAGACTCTGTCAGTATTTAGACAAGGCCATAAGCAAAATGGAAGTTCTCTTCTCCCATTAGAGAAAAGTACATCCTTCTTTCATGGCCACTTCCTCCCATTGGGATCTCAGTCACAGAGATCCTTCATATAGAATGTTTTGCCACAGTGTCCTGGCTTTCCATGCCTGAAATGATTTCATGGGCTTTTCAGCCAGACCAGGAAGTCTTAAGGGCTGATTCTGAGGTCAGAGTGTTACTTAAAGCAATTGTCATTCTATAAGTCTGCTGTATGGATTGCTTCCCATGTTGCAACATTCTCTCCTTTTTAATTCTGTCTATTACAATTATCCAACACTTGATCCTATGTATATGTTCACTTTAATGCTTAATATGATCATTTAACACTTATGATGGCATTTTTATCACCCAGCTTAAGGGGATTGGGGTCGCATGACAAGTTTTTAAACTACCCTTAGAAGTTAGTCCTTAGGAATGTATGCAGAACTATATAGCTTTACAATTGCAAACTTCTTCCTGCCTCTCTTATTCTCACTGTTATTTCTTACTTAGATCCATCCTCAATTGACTTTGTACACATATGATTAATTCTGTTAAATAATTATTTCAACAAATAGTATGAAGAGAAAAAAATGAATAATCAAAAAAAAAAAAACAAAAAAAACAACCTGTTCCTTGACAGTCAATACAAGGGCAGCTCAGGTCTTCCCTCCTCAAAGTGTCAATTTCACTTCTTCAGATTTCATTTTAGATGCTCTATTTGTTCTCGCAGATCATGAAGTATATGTGATATTTGCCTCTTTGGGACTGCTTATTTCACCAAATGATTTTTTCCAGATTCATCCATTTTGTTGCAAATGACTGGATTTCATTTTTTTTTTACTGTTGTGTAGTATTCCATAGTGTACATGTCCCATAATTACTTTATCCAGTCTTTGGTTGACAGGCGTTTAGGTTGGTTCCATGTCTTAACTATTGTTAATGGAGCTGCAATAAGCATGGGAGTGCAGATAACTCTTTTATTTGCTGGTTTCATTTCCCTTGGGTAAGTCCCCAGGAGTGGGATGGCTGGGTCAAATGGTAGTTCTGTATTCAGATTTCTGAGGTATCTCCATAGTGTCCTCCATAGTGGCTTTATCAGTCTACAATCCCACCAACAGTGGATTAGGGTACCTTTTCCTCTACATCCTTGCCATCATTTGTTATTTGTTGATTTCTGTATGAAAGCCATTCTAACTGGGGTGAGGTAAAACCTCATTGTGGTTTTGATTTGTATTTCCTTGATGGTTAATGATCCTGAGCATTTTTTCATGTGTCAGTTGGCCATTTGGATTTCCTCTTTTGAGAAATGTCTGTTTAAGTCCTCTGCCCATTTCTTAACTGGGTTGTTTATTTTGCTGTTGTTGAATTTATTGATCTGTTTATATATTCTGGTTATTAACCCTTTATGGGTTGCATAGTTTGCAAATAATGTATCCCATTCTGTCAGTTGTGTCTTTCCTGAGTATTTCTTTTGCAGTCATGTCATATGCAAATAGGGATGGTTTGACTTCCTCTTTAGCAATTTGTATCCCTTTGATTTCTTTTTCTTGCCTAATGGCTCTGGCTAATACTTCCAGGACTATATTGAATAGCAATGATGAGAGTAGGCATCCTTGTCTGCTTCCGGATAGCACTGGGAATGCTTGCAACTTTTTCCCATTCAATAGGATGCTGGCCATGGGTTTGTCATAAATTGCCTTGATTGTGTTTAGGAATGTTCCTTCTATACCCAATTTGCTTAGAGTTTTCATCATGAAAGGGTGTTGCATTTTATCAAATGCTTTCTCCACATCTATTGAGATAATCATATGGTTTTTGTTCCATTTCTGGCATTTATTCAATCTCACCATCTTTACAATCTAATATTGAAGTGTTGTATGCTTTTGGGGATGTCATGATCTCTTCCTGTTTCT